GCCAGGGGGAGGGGGAGATATCTCCCTGCCTACCTAGCCCTGTGGCTCTTTCTCCAGCTGCTCGTTGGCCTGTCTGTCTGCTAGCCTGCTTGTCCATCCACTTGTCTGACCTCTAGCTAGCCTGCCTGCCTGGCACTCTGTCCTTCCCTCGATGCCAGGCCCCAGGCTGAAGATATGCATGAGAGGCTCTGAGCCCTCGAGCTGCTTGTGTTCTACTTGGAGAGACAGCAACACCCATCCTAGGCGATCGGTGCTGTGTTAGAGGGATGGATGGAGGGAGCACGGTGGGGTCTCCCAGAGGATGGGGCTAACTCTGCTCAGAAGGTCAAGGAGGCCTTGGTGGGTGCTGACCAGCATCCGCTCCCTTTTTTCCTCCTCTGCCTTTTCAGTGTCTTTCCTCAAGGCTCTCCTGTCATGAAAACAAAAGCCCACTCCCCGCCCCCAGCGCTCCCCATCTACACCCCCATCACAGTTCTCGTGTCCAGGCAGGTCTCAGCTCACCACCCTCCATCTTCCTCCGCTGCTCAGTAGATCCATTTGCCCCCTTGAGGGGAAATCTGTGCTCTTATGGACATGCATCCTCTCCATCTCTCAGCTTCCCAGACACCCCTGGACTCCCATCTCTTTTTGACTTCTAGTGCCTTCTGTGATGCTGCAGTACCTACGCTGAGCTCCTGCCTCCCTGATTGTCTTCCAGCACCTTCGGGTTCCTGGTCCTCTGTTGACTGGCTGTCCCCAGGGGCCAGTTCTCCAGCCCTCCACCCTGCTCTCTCCCTACTTCCTGTCGGGGCTCCTCCCTCCTGCATCATGGCAATTCCTGCATCTCTGCCTATAACCCCGAGCTCTCCCACGGATCTGGGTCTTCCAGGCTCTTCCTCTTGCTGTGTCCCTGAACTCAGGACCCAGCCTGCCCCCCGCCCAATCTGGTCACCAGGCCAGAACCTGGGAGTGATGGGTCATCCTTGAGTCCTTTCCCTTCACCCCCAGCTGGGGGGGCGGAGGTCACCCAGCCTTGTTAAGTTCTCTTTGAAATGCTTCTCACAGCAGCTCTCTCCATTCCTCCCGCCACTTCCCTGGCCAAAATACCAGCCTCTCTCACAGGCTTGTCTGCAACAGTCTCGCACTGGCCTCTCAGCCTCAGGTACATCCCCCATAGACCCCACGGTTTCTGAACCTAAATCCCAGCATCCCCCAACTTTAGAGGCGGGCACGAGCAAAAGCTGTAAGATGGGAATAACAACTCTTGCCCATTCGGGACGTTGGTAAGACTTAATGAGCACTCAGTGGTACTGGTGGCCCACGTGTATTTAGCATTTATTATGTGTCTAGCACCATGCCAGGCAATTTACCTGATGGTCTTATTTACCTGATGGTTAATTTTCACAGCAACTTTGTGAAATAGGTAATATTGTTATCTCCCATTTTACAGACGTGGGGAGTAACTCAGAGAGTTAAACCAGATGCCTGAGGTCAGAAGACTGTAAGTGGTGGAGCTAGGATTTCAAGGTGGGTCTTCTTGACACTCAGGCTGTGCTTTTTTTTTTTTTTTTTTTAAAGATTTTATTTATTTGACAGAGAGAGACACAGCGAGAGAGGGAACACAAGCAGGGGGAGTGGGAGAGGGAGAAGCAGGCTTCCCGCTGAGCAGGGAGCCCGATGTGGGACTCGATCCCAGGACCCTGGGATCACGACCCGAGCCGAAGGCAGACGCTTAACGACTGAGCCACCCAGGTGCCCCCAGGCTGTGCTCTTGATGGACCGTCTGTGCTGCCTCCAGAGGCGCGGGCTCCAGGGGGGCCTGCACCTGGCCCTGGCAGCAATCGGGGCTGTGAGCACCTGTCCTCGGTGCTGCAGGGCTATCTGAGGCCTCTGCAAGGCAAACTGGGTCAGTGGAGAGGAACTTCAGGCCACTGCTGCTCAGAGCCCCACCAACCCCCACCAACCCATCTTTTTTTATTTTAAGACATAATTCACATACCATAAAACTCACCCGTTGAAAGTGTGCACTCAGTGGTTTTTAGTCTATTCACTAGGTTTTACAATTATTATCACTATCTAATTCCAGAACATATTCATCATCCCCAAGAGAAATTCCCATACTCATCAAGCAATCACTCTCCGCTCCTCTGTCCTTTGCCTTCCCGGCAACCACCGACCTACTTTCTGTCTCTATGGATTTACCTTGTCTGGACATTTCATGGAATTGCAATCACATCACACGTGGGCTTTTGTGTCTGGGTTCTTTCATTTAGCATAATGCTTTTGGGGTGCGTTCATGTCATAGCGCATGCTAGTACTTTGTTCCTTTTCACTGCAGAATAATATTCCAGTGTATGGGTACGTCCCATTTTGCTTATCTGTTCCTCACTCCATGGATGTTTGGGTTGCTTCCAGGTTTTGCCTACTGTGGCAATGTTGCTATGAATGTTTGGGTACAGGTGTTTGCATTTGGATTAGGTACAAGTGCACACGTATTTTTTTTTTAAAGATTTTATTTATTTATGTGACAAAGAGAGACAGCGAGAGAGGGAGACACAAGCAGGGGAGTGGGAGAGGGAGAAGCAGGCTTCCCGTGGAGCAGCAAGCCCGATGGGGGGCTCGATCCCAGGACCCTTGGATCACGACCTGAGCCGAAGGCAGACGCTTAACAATTGAGCCACCCAGGCGCCCCATTGTGCACAAGTATTTTTAATTCTCTTGGCACACCTCAGTGTGGAATTGCTGGGTCATATGGTAATGCTATGTTTAAACTTTTCAGGAAGTGCTTCCCAAAGGGGATCCCAACAGCCATAGTGTTCTGAAGGGGTGGGTATCCCTGCTGAGACATGAGCAGCATGGCTGGGACCCCGGTTAGGGCGCTCTGAGCCCACAACTCTTCTCAACGTTTATCCCCAAGAGCATGGAGGTCAGACTCTTCCCATTTGTGACCTTATTTAATTCCCAAAGATTCCCAGGAAGAAAAGTATTGTTTATCCCAATTCATAATTGAGAATATGGAGGCTCAACATGGTTAGGTAATTTGCCAGTGAGGGATAGTTTAGTTTTGAACCCAGCTCTATCTGATTCCAAAATCCTTGCTTTAAACCCCCAAATTACACTGCCTCTTAGTTGGCCCAGTAAAGCCTGTGGGAAGAAAAACCAAGTGAAGAGGAGGGGCTTGGTGAAGCAGTGGTTTCTTCTGATACACCTTGGGCCCCTTGCCCTTTTGTTCCACCAGCTACTGGGACTATCCGTAGGAGGGTGGGAGATGGAAGTATGACTGGGCTCAGATCTCTCTTGTAGGCCCAACATGCTGGATCAGGTGGGAGAACTGCGGACCCAGAGAGAAAAGTACCGGGTCCAAATCAGTGGTAAAGCTAGGATTTGACCTAGCTATATTTGCATCCGTGTGTGTGCGCGTGTGTTTATGTGTGCCAGTTGTGTAGCAGTAGATGGCATGGCATAAAAGGCCAAGCTATGTGCCCAGTTGGTAAAGGTGGATTTAAGTCAGGCCCACCAGAGTGGGTGGGGTCCAGGAAGACTAATCTACTCCTATCTGGGTACCACTGTCCCCATCCAGCTAAGGAGGAATAGCTATGGATAAGCCAAAACTAGGACATGTCTACTTTAAGGGTTGCATGAGGCAGTGTCCCTAGGGAATGTCTCTGCAGAGCCTCTCAGTGCAGATACCCCTGAAGACAAGGGCATAGCTCTGTTCTAATAATCTTTTCCTGGAGGAAGGAGTCACTCTGACAGGAGGCGGAGCACCTGAAAGAAGAAGTTTGGGATGCTGTCCACTCAATGACAACAGATAAGAGTAGATGTCCAGGGCCTGTCTTGAGAGGGATTTGGTAGCCATGGTCCAGGATACCCAATTTGCCATCCCATCTGGCATCCTAGAAGGACCCCATCAGCATCAGCACCAAAATTTGGAAGTAAGCAGGATCTTGGGGGCAATAGGAAGGGGGGACTTGGGATACTGTGTCCCACTTGGCAGCTTGGTGAGGGTTAAGGAAGTTCCAAGAGCAGAGGGGTGCTGGAAGATTTAATGGGGACGGACGACCTCACATTCTTTGTGGATGAAGGTGGTATAGCTTAATGGGTCAGAGCTTGGATTCTGGAGTCAATTGCCTGGGTTTAAACCTCCATGAGCCTCAGTATCCTCTTCTGAAAAGTGGATATCATAATAGTACCCACCCCAAAGGAGTTATTGTGAGGGTGTAGAGAGGCATAATGTATCCTAAGCACTTGGCAAAATAAGCACCCAATTAATGGCAGCTAAAATAGTTTAATACACATGAAACTGGGAAGAGGCTCAGGGCAGCTGCCTGGGCATCTGAAGATGCAGGCAGGGTTCTAATTGGGCTCTGCCTTTGGCTTGGGTAGAGAATAACTCAAAAGCAGGAGTGCTGTGGGGCTGAGCCCCACGTGCTGCCTCCCCTAAGTTGGTGCCAGCCTCTGAATGACTTGTGTGCTGAATGACTTGTGACACCAAGAACACCTAGTACTTTTACAGCCTTGCTATATGCCAAGTCCTGCCCTATACTCTTTATAATCATTCACTTATTTAATCCACACAACACCCACTATGATAGGTTATGTTTTATTATTTCACTTGAAGATGAGAATATTCAGGCATAGAGGGATTACTAACTTGTACAAAGATACACCTATAGTAAGTGGAAGAACTAGGATTTGAAAAAAAAAGCAGTCTACCTCCCAAATCTTTGCCTTTGAAAACCACTAGAGTTTACTGCTTGTACCTGGCTATGCTGTCTGGGGCTGGGACAACTGATGAGTGGATCCACATGAAGTCTGGGGAAGGCTGTCAAGGAGACAGGGAACAGCCAACATAGCCCAGGGAGAACCCCAATTCTTTTCCACTGCAGTCATCCCTGATGAAGACTTGTCTGGTATAAGTTGCCCATTGACTTACATTTCTTTCTTGTCAATCACTGAGTTTGTTGAAGTCAAGGACCCTGTCCGGTTAACCTTGTATTTTTTTTTTTTTTGATGTCTGATCTTATTTATTTGTCACTCTTAGAAAATCTCATTTTTGACTGGACTCAGACTTAGAGGTAGAAGCTCTCAGAGAGGACAGCCTCCGTCTCTTGGCAATCTGTTCCTGGCATTTTTCTTTGGCCTCCTTCATTCTCTTGGCCGAAAGTTTAGCATATTCTGTAGCCTCTTCCTTATTTTTCTTAGTGCGCTGCTTCTTCAAAGCAATATGCCGACGTTTGTGCTGGAGGACACGTGGAGTAACAAGACGTTGAATCTTAGGCACTTTGGTTCTAGGTTTCTTACCTTTTTGTTTAGGGGCTTTCTCACAACATACTGACAGACATCATCTTCTTTAGAGAGATTGAAGAGTTTGGAGATTCTGCTGGCTCTTTTGGGCCCCAGGCAACGAGGCACAGTAGTATCAGTGAGTCCAGGAATATCCTTCTCCCCCTTTTTTTACAATGACCAAGTTGAGAACACTGAGATTGGCATCCACAATGCAACCCCGAACAGATTTGCACTTTCTCTCTCCAGTCCTCCTTGGTCTATAGCAGGAATGCCCCTTACTCAGCAGCAGGCAGACACCACCATGGGTCAAGACACCCTGCTTCATGGGGAAGCCTTGTTTGTCATTGTCACCACTGATTCGGACCACATAATCCTTCCATTCTTCACCCGGAGTATCATCAGCAACTTCTGTGGCCATATGCTTCTCATAAAAGGTACGAAGTTTGGGTTCATTATCCACTTCAATGAGTTTCTGGCAGCCAATAGCTGGGAAAGAGATGTTCAGCTTCATCCTGAAGCAGCTTACCGCCTCCGAGGTGCCACAAAAAAAGAGCTAACCTTGTATGTCTTGTGCCTAATATAATGCTGGGCTCATAGTAGGTACTCAGTGAACAGTAATTTTTTACTGTTGTTTGTTGATGATACAACTCTTATTCACTACACTCTTTGAAATTAGAATTTGACCTTCCACCATGAAGACTTACACACATGGTTTTAGAAAGGCTCAACCTATATATAGATGGGTTACGACCCACATATGAATCTCTCAGTCTTGGGTCTATGAAATAATTTCTGAGTTCATCCACTGCAAGATAGAGACTCCAGCAGAATCTTCCTTTATCTGTGAGTCAAAAGTACTTTTATTGTGCCATATCCCCCTCAAAGACCTCCCTCCACCTTGAAAACTAGCTTGAATTTGTCCCCTACAGATGCCAATGTGGAGACAATCTTGTTCCGTAGGAATGAAAATGGTCACTGACATTTATGGAATACTTACTACTTTCCATAGTAGCTTCAGCTGAAGAGTCAAAGTGAGCAAGACTTCTCCTGGCAGTCTAACCAGCACTAGCTAGGATATAGAGAGCCACATCTCAGGATCTTTATTGTATGTATGTATTTATTATTTAAGTAATCTCTACGCCCCACGTGGGGCTTGAACTCATGATCCCAAGATAAAGAGTCCCTTGCTCTTCCAACTGAGCCACCCAGCCACCTCAGGTCTCAGGACCTTTAGTTTCTGATCTAGGGAGGTTTGAGATGGTCAAGTCTTGCTGAGGGTCAAAGGAGGCTTATGCCAGGCTCCATAGGGGCTGTGGGAAGGAAAGGTCCTGCCAATAGAAATGTGTAGGAGTATCTGTGTCTAAAAAACAATCTTAATGCTGAACCAGATATCCCAGTTGAGAAGCAGAAACCAAAGAAGCTAAGACACTGATTTTAGATTTATTCATCCATTCAGTAGATATTCATTGAGAGTTTCTTCTTTGCATAGTCTGGGGATGGACACATAAATCACTGGGGTTTACAGTCTAGACATGTGTGTGAATCCTGCTCCTCCTCCTCTAGCTGTGTGAACTTGGGTGAACCAGTAGCTTCTTTAATTTTCATCTGCAAAATTGAGATGATAGGAGCACCTGCCTCAATGGTTTGTTGGAGAATAAGTGGAATAGTGTATGTTAAGGGCTTAGGACAGACCCTGGCACACCATTCATGCTCAATAAATGTGGGATAAAGAATTTCTCTTTAAAACATTTCTCAGGTCCTGGCCTGGGGTGACCAATCCAGGGAAAGGGAGCTTGGAGATGCCCCCAGGGCAAATGAGCATGGCTGCCTCTGGACCACTCAATAGTCTCCTCTATAAGAATCTCTTCAGATTCAGAATTTCCACGGAATCAATAACTTTGATCTCCTTGTAGTCTCAATATCCAGATAAGTATCCCCCTGGACTTCCTGGTTATAATATGGAAGGAGTGAGCTTGTGGTGCAGAAAACTGAAGAAAAAGCACAAGTCAGCACCACAGTCAGAGAATTGATGCTGTCCGTGGTGCTGATAGCTTTCAGGCAGTCTCAGGAAGAGTGACCTCATGGGATGACTGCCCCAGCCTTCAAGAACTCCCCCTCTATGCTAAGAAAACATGGCAGAAGCCACTTCCCACCATTTCTATAAGAAACTTGTATAAAATAATAATAGTAGGTAACCTCTTCTGAAAGCCAGACTCTTTCACTTAATCTTTACAATTACCTGTGAGGTAGGGACTTATTATTAGAGTCCTATGATGCAGAAACAGAGGCACAAGTTAAGAAGTTTTCCCAAGTTCACAATATTAATGAGTGGGCAGAGGTGAGGTTTAATCTCAGGCAGCCTGATGCTAGAGTCTTCTCTCTCAATACCACAAGACAACTCTTCTCAGAGTCAAGCTGAGAGAACAGTATGCTGACAGTTCATCAGCAAGAGGTCCCGCACAGATTTGTGGCCAGGACTGTACAATACCTTGGCACAACAAGCTGTGTGTTGTGGGACACTGTTTTATTGTTTTTTTCTTCCTCCAGAGGGGAAGCGAAGGAGAGGTGGGTCCTTGTCAGCTTTTTTCAGCTTCCTCTAGACCTTGTTTTGGAGCAAGTGGAAGTCAGTAAGTTGTGACAGTGAGGGCTTTCTTCACCTGCCCAGGGGATTTATGATCTTTCCTCTGCTTCTGTGTCTAGGTTAGTGGATAGACAACTGTAGAACTGATGAACTGTAGTTTCTCTTCCCTCCTCCCACTTCTCTCTCCACTGACCACTTGATTTCTAGGCTGAGTCCCCATTCTGGTTCAAGTTCCTGCTGATTTGGGATCAATTCCAAGACTAGCCTGGCTTCCTATGGTTGGAATCCTCCCATAGAAGGCTTCCAGGATCCTCCCCTCCCAGAACCTGGGAATCTGGGCTGGATTACTCTAATGTGGTATACATCTGGGAGGGCACCTGATGCTTCAAGTCAGCAGTACCGTGAGACCCTGCCCATCCAACCCCAGAGCACTTTAGACATGGGCTATAGTCAGATATGGTTTCATCCTTCCCTATCCCTATGCCAGCTTGCCCTTGTTTCCTGCCAGGAGCTCCTGGAATGCTGGGAAGCTGAGGCTACACAAAATATGACTTTCCTTTCCCTCTGTCCCTATGGCCACCTCTGGAGGTTTGCCTTTGGGCACAAGGGTTGCCCTCCCCACCACTTCCTCCAATAGTTAAAAACAATTTTTAGAAAATCCCCAAAGGGTTTCATGATCCATTAACAGGCTGTAGGACAGACCCAGTAGTATATGTGTGTCTATTTTAGTGACTGTCAGAGATGTTTTGTATGTGATTACTTTTATGTATGTGAGATGTGACTCCCCATAGGGATAAATCTGTATGTTTTCCTTATGTGATTCTGTGTGTGTGTGTGTGTGTGTATGAGAGAGAGAGAGAGAGAGAGAGAGAGAGAACACAAGAGTGTGCGCAAGCACACACTGGCTCCTTGGGTGAGACTCTATGTCATACCAAGGAATGAGTCTCAATCTCTCTCTCTTGCAATATGCATGTGTATGTGTGTAATCTGTGCCTAGTATGTGTTTTTCTGAAAACTTGGAGTGTAGCTTTGGGTGTGATTGTGTGTCTGCTCACAAGATGAGGTACATCTATGTCCATCTATGCCTTGGCATGATCGTGTGCATGCATGTGGGCATTCCCATCATTTAAATGACTGTCCCTCTGATTCATGGTATTGTGAGACGTAGATATGCCAGTGTGTGTGGGGTGTGATACTGACATTGTGCCAGAAACGAGCTCCCTTCACCTGACCAAGTTTCTGACTTTTCTCCTGAATGGCAAAGTTGTTTCTTTGAAACGCTTCCAGCACCTGGCTTAATAGACCTTCCTGTGAGCATATTCCCAGTTCCGCACTGCTCCCCAGTGACTGGGGACCTTTTGTCAAGCACATATGAAATTAAGTGAAATAAAAATCATATTAAAAATTATTACCATCTAACAGCCATTAGTCTGCACACTGCTGTCAGCCTGTGATGGATTCCTCACTTACTTCAATGAATGTTCTAACGACAGTGATAAAATCACTCAGAAAAAATAGAATAAACTGTTAACCCTCTCCCCATCGACACTTGTTTTTCTTTGAGAAAAATAAAATAAGGGATGTTGGTGGAAGGGGTTGAGCCATATGTGACTCTTTAGACCAAAATATGGGCTGGGTGTGGGGTTCTGGGCTTCCCCCGCTGAGTTTGAGGAGTGAATTTTGCTCTAGACTCTAGGCATCAGCTCTAGTTTCTGAGCTCTGGGCTGAGATGTGAGGTCTGATTTACACTCGGAGCTTTTCCTGAGTCTGGTGAGATAGGGCCTAATCCTTATATTTTAGACTTTAAACTAGATTAATTTATTTTAAAAGACTTATTTAGCATCTACTTCTGAAAGGAAGGCCCAGGTGAACAATAAGATGTTTTTGAACTGAGACAGTGGTGAGAGGATGGGAAGATAGGCAGCTAAGAAAGATGCTAGAAGAGATGGAATTGGCTAACAGGTTTTGTTTGCCCAGGAGAGAGTGAGGCATCATGGGGTGCCTATCAGAGAAGTGATGAGAGGTTGGAGGACATTATTCACTGAGATAGGGAACAAGTGGTCCTTCTTTAGTAGGAGGGAAGAGTTCAGTGTCAAGTTCACTGAGTTTGGGGAGCCTCTGGATACCACAGGCGGCTGTGGAGGAGGCTGCTGGACCTCTGCAGCCCCATAGATGGTTTGTGCTGGAGACAGATCTGGGTAACTGTGGCACTCAAGATGGGGGAGAAAACCAAGGGAGCTGATGAGACCATTCAGGGGGTGTCTGGAGAGAGAAGAATCCCAGGGACAGTACCTTGAGTATAACCAGCCATTGAAAAAGTTCCAGGAGACAGAAAAGGAGTGGCAGGGAGGAGGGGAGTACAGGAAAATGTGATGTCACAGAGCTCAGGGAGAGAGAGTGTTTCAGAAACCAGTAAGTGGTTGCTGGAGTAAAATGTTGCAAAAAAAAAAAAAATCAGATGGGAGTTGAAAAATGTTAGTGGTCCTAAGAAGGTCACTGGTGATTGGATTCAGAGGCATGAGAGGAGTGAGGGAGAAGTCAGACACACATAGACATTCACATGCCTACTCTTCTTCCCAAAGAGATGGTCCCTGATACAGACATTTTCTCTGAGTGGGATGGCTGACAATCAGTTTACCCAAACACAGAGGGATGGATCTGCGGGTCTTATCACATGATCTGAGACCCGGGCTAACTTTGTTCCTGTCTGCTGGGCCCTGCCTTGGCCTATAGAGACAGGGTGTTGAGCTTTCTTGGTGTCACTTGGTGACACTCAGAGGAGAAGGCATGTGGAGCAGGGGCTCCTACCTCAGTCCTCAGGCCCCCAAAGTTTCACTGGTTCTGTTAGTTCCTCTGGAGGTGGGCTTGGGGCTCCTTGGGTGAGAGCATTGCCCACTTTTCCCCTTTTTTGCTTTATAGGGCTGGGATGGCGTCTAACCTTTTGGATTCAGGTTAACCAAACCCATTCTATCTGGCTTGGGCTCAAAGGAGATTTTTTTTCTTCAGGGACCAGGGTATTTTGCAAGAGCCCAAGGACAGGAAGTACAGCCCAAGGAAGGGTCCGAGAGCCACTGGGTCCCAGGAAAACTCACCCTCCATCTTTCTTCTCTGTCAGGAGCCAAATGGCCTCTGAGTTGAATATCTCTGTGTGCTTCTGTTTTATTCTCTCTGCACTTGGTTCTCCATGCCTGTGGACAAATGGGGCTGTTTAAGAATTCTGGATTTCCATGTTGCCTGGCAAACCTAGACTGCTATGTGTCCTTCTGTCCTGGGCATATGTCCCATGTTCCTGGGACTGAGAACCTGATTGGTCCAGGCTGGGTCAGGTGTTCATCTTTGGCCCAGTCAGCTATGGCTGGAGCCATCGTAATAATAATATTGATGACAAGGATGGGAATAATTACGATGATGTAATGATAACAGCCAACATCCATTGAGTGCTTACTACACACTGTTTCAAGTGCTTTACATGTATAATTCCTCTATTTCACACAACATTCCTGTGACAGTCCTTGCGGTTATCGACGACCTCACTGTACAGATGAGGCACAGAGAATTTTTTTAAATTTTTTATTGTTATGTTAATCACCATACATCATTAGTTTTTGATGTAGTGTTCCATGATTCATTGTTTGTGCACAACACCCAGTGCTCCACGCAGAACGTGCCCTCTTTAATACCCATCACCAGGCTAACCCATCCCCCCACCCCCCTCCCCACAAGAACCCTCAGTTTGTTTTTCAGAGTCCATCGTCTCTCATGGTTCGTCTCCCCCTCTGACTTACTCCCCTTCATTCTTCCCCTCCTGCTATCTTCTTCTTCTTTTTTCTTAACATATATTGCATTATTTGTTTCAGAAGTACAGATCTGTGATTCAACAGTCTTGCACAATTCACAGCGCTCACCATAGCACATACACTCCCCAATGTCTGTCACCCAGCCACCCCATCCCTCCCACCCCCCACCACTCCAGCAACCCTCAGTTTGTTTCCTGAGGTTAAAAATTCCTGATATCAGCGAGGTCACATGATATATGTCTTTCTCTGATTGACTTATTTCACTCAGCATAACACCCTCCAGTTCCATCCACGTCGTTGCAAATGGCAAGATCTCATTCCTTTTGATGGCTGCATAATATTCCATTGTGTATATATACCACATCTTCTTTATCCATTCATCTGTCGATGGACATCTTGGCTCTTTCCACGGTTTGGCTATTGTGGACATTGCTGCCCTAAACACTGGGGTGCACGTACCCCTTCGGATCCCTACTTTTGTATCTTTGGGGTAAATACCCAGTAGTACAATTGCTGGATCATATGGTAGCTCTATTTTCAACTGTTTGAGGAACCTCCATACTGTTTTCCAGAGGGGTTGCACCAGCTTGCATTCCCACCAACAGTGTAGGAGGGTTCCCCTTTCTCCGCATCCCCGCCAACATCTGTCGTTTCCTGACTTGTTAATTTTAGCCATTCTGACTGGTGTGAGGTGGTATCTCATGGAGGTTTTGATTTGGATTTCCCTGATGCCGAGCGACGTGGAGCACTTTTTCATGTCTGTTGGCCGTTTGGATGTCTTCTTTGGAAAAATGTCTGTTCATGTCTTCTGCCCATTTCTTGATTGGATTATTTGTTCTTTGGGTGTTGAGTTGGATAAGTTCTTTATAGATTTTGGATACTAGCCCTTTATCTGATATGTCATTTGCAAATATTTTCTCCCATTCTGTCGGTTGTCTTTTGGTTTTGTGGAGTGTTTCTTTTGCTGTGCAAAAGCTTTTTATCTTGATGAAATCCCAGTAGTTCATTTTTGCCCTTGCTTCCCTTGCCTTTGGCGATGTTTCTAGGAAGAAGTTGCTGCGGCTGAGGTCGAAGAGGTTGCTGCCTGTGTTCTCCTTTAGGATTTGGATGGACTCCTGTCTCACGTTTAGGTCTTTCAACCATTTGGAGTCTATTTTTGTGTGTGGTGTAGGGAAATGGTCCAGTTTCATTCTTCTGCATGTGGCTGTCCAATTTTTCCAACACCATTTTTTGAAGAGACTGTCTTTTTGCCATTGGACATTCTTTCCTGCTTTGTCAAAGATGAGTTGACCATAGAGTTGAGGGTCCATTTCTGGGCTCTCTATTCTGTTCCATTGATCTATGTGTCTGTTTTTGTGCCAGTACCGTACTGTCTTGATGATGACAGCTTTGTAATAGAGCTGGAGGTCCAGAATTGTGATGCCGCCAGCTTTGCTTTTCTTTTTCAATATTCCTCTGGCTATTCGGGGTCTCTTCTGGTTCCATACAAATTTTAGGATTATTTGTTCCATTTCTTTGAAAAAAGTGGATGGTATTTTGATGGGGATTGCATTGAATGTGTAGATTGCTCTAGGTAGCATTGACATCTTCACAATGTTTGTTCTTCCAATCCATGAGCATGGAATGTTTTTCCATTTCTTTGTGTCTTCTTCAATTTCTTTCATGAGTGTTTTATAGTTTTCTGAGTACAGATCCTTTGCCTCTTTGGTTAAATTTATTCCTAGGCATCTTATGGTTTTGGGTGCAATTATAAATGGGATCGACTCCTTGATTTGTCCCTCTTCTGTCTTGTTGTTGGTGTATAGGAATGCCACTGATTTCTGTGCATCCTGCTACTTTACTGAATTCCTGTATGAGTTCTAGCAGTTTTGGGGTGGAGTCTTTTGGGTTTTCCACATACAGTATCATATCATCTGCAAAGAGTGAGAGTTTGACTTCCTCTTTGCCGATTTGGATGCCTTTGATTTCTTTTTGTTGTCTGATTGCTGTGGCTAGGACTTCTAATACTATGTTGAATAGCAGTGGTGAGAGTGGACATCCCTGCCGCATTCCTGACCTTAGGGGAAAAGCTCTCAGCTTTTCCCCATTGAGACTGATATTCGCTGTAGGTTTTTCATAGATGGCTTTTATGATCTTGAGGTATGTACCCTCTATCCCTATACTCTGAAGAGTTTTGATCAAGAAAGGATGCTGTACTTTGTCAAATGCTTTTTCTGCATCTATTGAGAGGATCATATGACTCTTGTTCTTTCTTTTGTTAATGTATTGTGTCACGTTGATTGATTTGCAGATGTTGAACCAGCCTTGCAGCCCAGGGATAAATCCCACTTGGTCATGGTGAATAATCCTTTTAATGTACTGTTGGATCCTATTGGCTAGTATTTTGGTGAGAATTTTTGCATCCATGTTCATCAAGGATATTGGTCTGTAGTTCTCCTTTTTGATGGGGTCTTTGTCTGCTTTTGGGATCAAGGTAATGGTGGCCTCATAAAATGAGTTTGGAAGTTTTCCTTCTATTTCTATTTTTTGGAACAGTTTCGGGAGAATAGGTATTAATTCTTCTTTAAATGTCTGATAGAATTCCCCTGGGAAGCCATCTGGCCCTGGGCTTTTGTTTGTTGGGAGATTTTTGATGACTGCTTCAATTTCCTTAGTGGTTATAGGTCTGTTCAGGTTTTCTATTTCTTCCTGGTTCAGTTTTGGTAGTTGATACATCTCTAGGAATGCACCCATTTCTTCCAGGTTATCTAATTTGCTGGCAGAGAGTTGCTCATAATATGTTCTTAGAATTGTTTGTATTTCTTTGGTGTTGGTTGTGATCTCTCCTCTTTCATTCATGATTTTGTTGATTTGGGTCATTTCTCTTTTCTTTTTGATAAGTCTGGCCAGCGGTTTATCAATCTTGTTAATTCTTTCAAAGAACCAGCTCCCACTTTCGTTGATCTGTTCTACTGTTCTTTTGGTTTCTAGTTCATTGATTTCTGCTCTGATCTTTATTATTTCTCTTCTCCTGCTGGGTTTAGGCTTTCTTTGCGGTTCTTTCTCTAGCTCCTTTAGGTGTAGGGTTAGGTTGTGTATTTGAGACCTTTCTTATTTCTCGAGAAAGGCTTGTATTGCTATATACTTTCCTCTCAGGACTGCCTTTGCTGTATCCCAAAGATTTTGAACAGTTGTGTTTTCATTTTCATTGGTTTCCATGATTTTTTAAAATTCTTCTTTAATTTCCTGGTTGACCCATTCATTCCTTAGTAGGATGCTCTTTAGCCTCCATGCATTTGAGTTCTTTCCGACTTTCCTCTTGTGATTGAGTTCTAGTTTCAAAGCACTGTGGTCTGAAAATATGCAGGGAATAATCCCAATCTTTTGGTATCGGTTGAGACCTGATTTGTGACCTAGGATGTGATCAATTCTGGAGAATGTTCCATGGGCACTAGAGAAGAATGTGTATTCCGTTGCTTTGGGATGGAGTGTTCTGAATATGTCTGTGAAGTCCATTTGGTCCAGTGTGTCATTTAAAGTCTTTATTTCCTTGTTGATCTTTTGCTTAGATGATCTGTCCATTTCAGTCAGGGGGGTGTTAAAGTCCCCCACTATTATTGTATTGTTGTCAATGTGTTTCTTTGCTTTTGTTATTAATTGCCTTATAAAAGTGGTTGCTCCCATGTTAGGGGCGTAGATATTTACAATTGTTAGATCTTCTTGTTGGATAGACCCTTTAAGTCAGATATAGTGTCCTTCTTCATGTCTTATTACAGTCTTTGTTTTAAAATCTAATTTGTCTGATATAAGAATTGCCATCCCAGCTTTCTTTTGGTGTCCATTAGCATGGTAAATGGTTTTCCACCCCCTCACTTTCAATCTGGGCGTGTCTTTGGGTCTAAAATGAGTCTCTTGCAGACAGCATATTGATGGGTCTTGTTTTTTAATCCAATCTGATAGCCTGTGTCTTTTGATTGGGGCATTTAGCCCATTTACATTCAGGGTAACTATTGAGAGATAGGGATTTAGTGCCATTGTATTGCCTGTAAGGTGACCGTGACTGTATATTGTCTGTGTTCCTTTCTGAGCTATGCTGCTTTTAGTCTCTCTCTTTGCTTAGAGGACCCCTTTCAATATTTCTTTTAGGGCTGGTTTCGTGTTTGCAAATTCTTTTAGTTTTTGTTTGTCCTGGAAGCTTTTTACCTCTCCTTCTATTTTCAATGACAGCCTTGCTGGATATAGTATTCTTGGCTGCATATTTTTCTCGTTTAGTGCTCTGAAGGTATCATGCCAGTCCTTTCTGGCCTGCCAGGTCTCTGTGGATAGGTCTGTTGCCAATCTAATATTTCTACCATTGTAGGTTACATATGTCTTTTCCCGAGCTGCTTTCAGGATTTTCTCTTTGTCTCTGAGACTCGTAAGTTTTACTATTAGATGTCAGGGTGTTGACCTATTTTTATTGATTTTGAGAAGGGTTCTCTGTGCCTCCTGGATTTTGATGCCTGTTTCCTTCCCCACATTAGGGAAGTTCTCTGCTATAATTTGCTCCAATATACCTTCTGCCCCTCTCTCTCTTCTTCTTCTGGGATCCCAATTATTCTAATGTTGTTTCGTCTTATCATATCGCTTATCTCTCGAATTCTGCCTTCGTGATCCTGTAGTTGTTTCTCTCTCTTTTTCTCAGCCTCTTTATTTTCCATCATTTGGTCTTCTATATCACTGATTCTCTCTTCTGCCTCATTTATCCTCGCAGTTAGTGCCCCCATTTTTGATTGCACCTCATTAATAGCCTTTTTGATTTCAACTTGGTTAGATTTTAGTTCTTTTATTTCTCCAGAAAGCGTTTCTCTAATAACTTCCACGCTTTTTTCAAGCCCAGCTAGTATCTTTAAAGTCATGATTTTGAACTCTAGGTCCGACATCGTACTAATGTCCGTATTGAGTAGGTCCCTGGCTGACGGTACTATCTCTTGTTCTTTTTGCTGAGGTGATTTTTTTCGTCTTGTCATTTTGTCCAGAGGAGAACAGATGAATGAGAGAACAAAATGCTAACAGGTTAACAACGTCCCCAGCAAATATACTCTATGCAAATCAGAAAAGACCTGAAACCAGGGGAAAAGAAAGGAAAGAAAGAAAAAAGAAAGAGGAAAAAAAAAAAGATAAAGATAAAAATAAACAAAAACAGAACAAAACAAAAAAAAACAGAATATGATCAAATATGATCAGGCTAGTGCATAGATCAGTGCCACACACTAGATTTTGGGTGTATTTTGGTCTGTTAGAAGAAAGTGCCTCCTAAAATTTTAAAGGAAGAGAGACTTATATATGTACAAAATAAGGGTTGATACAATGAAGGGATGGAAGATGACTGTAAAGATGAAACTTATAAAAGGTTTTATAAACGGAATTGATAAGAAGTTGTTTGAAAGAAGAAGATTTAAAAAAAGAAAAGAAAAAAAATGGGAGAGACTGTGATCAGGCAGGAGACTAGAACAAAGCCATACACTACTGATTTAGGGTATATTTTGATCTGTTAGAAGAAAGTGTATATCAAAATTTTAAAGAGAGAACAACTTATATATATATGCCAAAATAAGGGTAACTACTATGAAGGGATAAAATATGACTCTAAAAATGAAAAATAATTTTTTTTTAAAAAAGGGATTGATAAGATGTTGGTTGAAAAAGGGAAAAAGAAAAATTCAAAAAAAACAAAAAAAACAGTTAAAAAAATTAACTTTCAAAAACAAATGAATCATGGTAAAAAAGCCATGAATTCTATGTGCAGTATTCCCCTAGCGCTGGAGTTCTCCCGTTCTCCTTGATCGGTAAACTTGGTCTTGGCTGGCTGGCTGTTCGAGCTGATCTTCTGGGGGAGGGGCCTGTTGCGTGGTTCCCAAATGTCTTTGCCGGAGGCGGAATTGCCCCACCCTTGTCGGTTTGGGCTAAGCAAGCTGCTTGGGTTTGCTCTCAGGAGCTTTTGTTCCATGCAAGCTTTCGGTACAGCTTTGGAGGACCAGGGTGAAAATGGTGGCCTCCCAATCTCCGCCCGGAGGAGCTGAGAACTTGGGGCCCCGCTCCTCAGCGCGCCCCCCAGAGAAAGCAGTCAATGACTCCCGTCTCCCCGTCTCCGGCCACACTCCGTGCTCACCGGCCTGTGATCAAGCATTTCTATCTCTGGCACCCAACCCCGTGTGGAGTCTCTAAACCCAGCAGATCCCTGCGGTGCACTCCTGCGCCGCTCCTCCCGGGGGAGGGAGGGGAGTCTCCCTGGCTCTGCTGCTTGTTGGGTCCCTGCTGGAGGCGCAGTGGCCCAAGTGGGCCGCGGATCACAGTTTATGGCCACCACGAGCTGAGAGCCCGTGCCTCGGCTCCGTCTCTGCAGCCGGCTTCCCCGCTCCAATACCGGGGAGCTCTGCTGCACTCAGGCACACCCAGTCTTTCTGTGACCCCGAGGGTCCTGAGTCCACACTGTCCCACGAGGTTTCCACCTCCCGCTTAGCCACTGAAGTGACATCCCTCAGCGGGAGCCGACTTCTAAAAGGTCCGATTTTGTGCTCCGCGGCTCTATCACTTGCCAGAAGCGGCCGACGGAGGCCCCCTCCCCCGCCCTCTAGCCTCCCGAATATCACCTCGGATTCACTTCTCCGCACGTCCGGCCTTCTAGTAAGTGGTCGCTTCTCTCTTCAGAGAGTTGTTGCTACTCTCTTCTTTGATCTCCTGTTGAGTTTGTAGGTGTTCAGAATGGTTTGATCCCTATTCAGCTGAATTCCTGAGACCAGACGAAATCCAGGTCTCCTACTCCTCCACCATCTTGCTCCGCCCCCCAGGCACAGAGAATTTAAGTGACATGCCCAAGATCATACAACTAGTGTGTGGCTGAGCTGGACTTTGAACTTGGCATTCTGATTGTAACATCTGTGTCTGACCACTTTACTCTACTGTGTCTTGAACATGGCTCCCAGGCCCATCCCTGGAAGGGCAACTTTAGAGTAAGGAAGTGTGAGCTGGACAGATACCTCTAGAGTTGTCTGCTATGTTCAAATTCATAGACGGTCTTTTGCAAAGACCAAAGTGGCCTGGGCAGATGCCAGGAGTGGGTTGACCTCAGGCATAGCCCCAAACCCCAGAGGGGTTTGGCTGTGGAAAACCAGGCAGGTGCCAGCCTGAGATCCCAGAAGGAGCCCAGCAGAGCAAACTGGGGTGTCAGTGAGGGATAGGCCTGGGGACTTCAGTTTGAAGGTCATGGGTACACCCAGGAATGGGGTGGGGCATGAGATTTCATGGAACAGCCACAGCTTCCCAACACTACCCTAGGTATGAAGGCCTAGGTATGTCACGGGGTCAGGCACTCCTTGGCTTAGGCCTGTGCAGGGTGGAGCCTCAGGGACCGCTGGGAGGCTGGAGACAGCAGGCTCTGATATGGGCAGACAGCCCCACTCCTGGTCCATGCCATGCCCTTCTGAGCTCCATCCCTGAGGTTGACCTCTTGTCCTGAGTTACTGACCTATCGTAGTCCATGTGTATTCATGATGTCCAAGACCAAAGTGTCCTTATGGTATCTACTTCTTATCCCTGAGGAGTTAAGACAACGTGATGGGCTTGAGTCAGAAAGTGACTGAAGATTTGATCTGAATTCTGGTTCTATCACAATCAGCCAGGGAACTTGAGCCAGTCTTCTTGAGCCACTGCCTGCTCAAGTATAGAGTGGGGATGATGATCCATACCCATGAGAGGAGGAACTCGGATAACACATGCAAAGTGCCTGCCACAGAGTAGATGTTCAATAGGTGTTGCTGATATTATTGAAATTAATCCCTTTATACCAAGCTTAAGTCCTGCCCTTTCCATTCCCAGAAACACCTCTCACCAATTTCTCTGCTTTGTGTAGCTGGTAGCTTTGCCCAAGGGCCGAAGTCTTCTGTAAGATGCTGAGCAAAGAGGCTGGTGGTGGTGGTTGGCGGGGGGGGGCAGGCGTTCAGCTGGAGTCCCATCTAGATGGTATGGTCTCTGGAGAGACAGGCTCACAGCATGTCACAGCCCACAGACATGCTGGCCTCAGGCCATTCCCCGATGCCCTGTGAGGAACTGTTTCCCGAGCAGCACTGCACCCAGGGGCATGCATGCCTGGCTCTGGGCAAAGAACAGGGCCCTTCTCCATGGCAGCTTCTGGCCTTTGACCCACAGGGACGGGAAGTCTTCTGCATTGGTTTCCTGGGGCGATTTTAACAAAGCACCACTAATTTGGTGGCTTAAAACAACAGAAATTTATCCTCTCTTGGCTCCGGAGTCTGCAATCAAGGTGCCAGCAGGGCCAGCTCCTTTTACCAGCTGCGAGGAAGAATCCTTCCTGCCTCTTGTGGCTTTTGGAAACTGCTGGCAAAACTTGACACCCATTGGCTTGCGCTGCGTCTCTCCTCTCTCTGCCTCTGTCCTCACGGGGCATTTGTCTCTCCTCTTCTTATAAGGATGAGGCCCAAATTGGATTAAGGGTTCACCCTAGTCCAGTATCATTCACTTTAACTTGATTACATCTGCAAATGCTCTATTTCCAAATAATGCCATATTCACAAGTGTCAGGTGTTGACACTTCAATATATCTTTTTGAGGGACATGATTTGACCCATGGCACCTCCTAAGAGGGTCTCTGAGACCCTGGCAATGTCTTACTAAGGACTAAGAGTAGTAGTCAGAGGGAGGGAACTCGGAAGCAAGTACAAGGGGGTAAACTTGATGCCTTGAGAGCAAGGGTTGGGTCTTCATAGGGCCTGAGTTAGGAATGCAAGGGGATGACCACTACCCCAAGAACCATCCCAGCAGTGAGACCATCTCAGGAGAAGTGGTCAGAACTGTGAGCCCCAGGGCTGGGACCAAGCTGTTCCTTCTGGCTTGGAAAAGTTGTCACATGGGTGATGGCTTCACCCAAGATCTTGTCCTAAGTATTTCTGGTGGCGTCTCTTGGGATGACTTTTAGCTGTTCAGAGACCCCTCCTAGGGCTGAGGTCTTATGGGCAGTTCTTCACTCATTCATTCATCAAATAATTCCTATAGGCCTACTACATGCCAGGGATTGCAAACTGGTGTGGAGGGAGCCTCACAGAGTAAGTCATTGATCAGTCACTCCAGGAACCACTGGTAAACAGTGATAGCATATATATGTTATTGTATATAGCAATATATATAGATATAGACATATATATGTCTATATAGATATCTCTTTATATATGTGTATTTTCAAGGAACTATAAAAACATATAATAGGGAGGCCAGATTTTGATTGTGGGGTCAAGGAATTTAAGCAGAGATATAAGGAATTAAGAAAGAGCCAGACACATGGAGAAGGAAGATTAGGCCAACTCTTCTAGGTTGAAAGAAGCACAGAGTTCATTTGAGGAGACTGGATTTCCCATTAATAGCAATTTCCAGGTGGGTGAGATGGTGTGAGAGAGCTGTCGGGTGATGGTCAGGTGAGCCCTGAGGGTGTGACCAGGAACCAATAAACAGGTTTGCTCCAAGTGATGGGGATACTGGCTATAGCTTTAGGATAGAGGGCGCACTGAGCCAGGACTGGTGCCTCAATCCTCCTCTTACTTCAGCAAATGTTTATTAACTACCTCCTGGGGATCAAATAAGGAACCAGAGCTCCTGGGCTCACTAGGGATAGGAAAGGGTGCCATGCTCAGCAGAAAGCTGGAGCGCTCTGCACAGAAACACAGATGGGGACTGGTCACATCTGTGGGGCTGACATAGTGGGGACCGGAAGGCTTCAGGTTGGACCTTCCCACTGAGACCTCTTTGATGGTGATAAGGTGCTCTGATACTTTGGGCCGCCAGATTTGCTTCTTCCTACCATGACCAGGGTTGGTTCAAAGACTACATGGGGCCAAATGTGTAAAGTCCCCAAGGCACAACGGGACAGCAGAGCAAGGATTGTGCAGTGGGGTTGAGAGGTAGGACTGTGGTCCTTTCTGGGGGTCTGGGTGGTGTTTGGGTCCCATACGGGCTGGTTATCCTACTCAGTTAAGGACCTGAAGACGTGGGCCAGAGACTAGAATTGAGCTAGTGGGGAAATGTAGTGGCAGGTAGAACCTGCTGGGGTGGAAGGAGGAATTGGTGGGGGTGTGCATGCAGCAAGAAGATTTGAAGAGGCGGTTAACCATTGCACAGAGCTCTGGGAGTTCCTGGATTCTGCTGGCCCAAAGGGCTTCCGGATTCTCACACTCCCCGGAGAGAAGAGCATGGCTTTGCATCACTGAGAAGGCCAGTTGATCAGGGAACCTGGGGGTCCGGATGATTCTCATTCTCAATCACAAATAGTAGAGTGCAGCAGAATCACGTCTGGATTGCCCCTGAGCTCCATCACTTAAAAGCTCTGACCTGGGACAAGTTCTTGGCCCTTTCCGGTGGGTTTTCTCCATAAAATGAGAATAGTGCCATTTTGTCCCCAGGAGTTGCTGTGCCTAGAACAGAGTCTAAAGCACTTGGTAAATGGTTGGGTGAGTGTGTGGTGGTGATGTGAGTACTCCTGGGTGTGTCTGAAGCCTGTAGGTACGTCCTGGACCTGTATCAGTGGCCTTAAGGGGAAGGTGGAAGTTGGTATGAATAGGTTGAGGGTGAGAGACAAGAACATCTGTCACCTCTGGGCACCATGGACTCACAGCTGAGCTGTGGAGAGGTGGCATACAGGTAGGAGCTGAAGGACCAGTTCCATGGGGGCTGCTGGTGACTTGGGCCATTGGCTGAGCTGTGTGGGTGCAGATACCCTTTCTCCCAAACGGGCATGAGCCCTGCATGACTTCAGCTCACGGGGGGTTGCAGGGGATGCTGGGGTCCTTTGGTGCCAGGAGGGCTTCCAGCCTTGTTGGCATCAGGTTTAGCACCTTGGCAGGGACACAAACTTCAGCAAGGCAGAACAGGAGAGTGTGGTGGGTGATCTCAGGAACTTGTGCCACCCCCTCCCCAAACTCCAGAGCTACCAGTGTGCATGTGGGGGTATAGGGGCTGTGCCAGGGAAATGTGGGTCATGCCTGTGAAAGTCATCCCCTGGAGACACCAAGATGAAGCCTGGGGCACAAGAGTGAGCACCCAGGGTGAGAAAAGCAAGGAAGTCCTCACTGTCACATGCAAAAGCAGGATTAGCCCCTGAGGGCGAACGGAGGCTTCCTTACCTTTTGCCTCCTGGGCACCCCACTCCTCTCACTGTCTTCTCGACAGTGACACATTTATCTTGCACCTGCCACTTGAAGTCACCAAGTGTTGGACTGAACTCATGCGCAGACTCCACCAAGCTGATTCCTCCCAGCCAACGGAGGAAGGGAGCAGCGTAATTCTTTTCTTTGCGGGTATGAAAACACTTAGTCCACTCTTTGCAGATTAAGTGTGAATGGGAATTCACCGGCTGGAAAAAAGGACAAGTCCAGGGGAAGAATGGCCACGGGCACAACTGACTCAGGGCTCCAGGGATGTGACCGCTGGATGACTTGAGCCATGTAGCGCAGTGGTCATGTGCTAAGGGCTCTGAAGCCAGACTGCCAGGCTTCAAATCCTGGCTCTGAGCCCTGGGGATAGGTGAGAGGGGGCGGTTCGTAAGCCCATGTGCTTCAGTTTATTCACACGTAAAATGGGCGCAAGGATAGGACCTACAGGTGGGGAGCTATGAGGGTCCGCAAGACAGTGCCTGTTGGGCATGGCTCTCCCCTTGCGCTCTGCATGTTGGGCTCAGGATAGCTGACCCCTCCTGTGCCCCACCTGCGGGGAGTACGGAGCCCCAAGCTAGACCTTGTTCTCATTGGCTGCAAGCCCAGGGGGTGGAGCTTATGGGGGATGACGTGATGTGTAAGCCCCCCCTCCCCCGCAGTGCTGAGTTTGTAAACATCTTTATGATTTTTGGCACGTCCATGTACTCCCCGTTTGATTATTTTCCTAGTGCATATTACAAATTGACCTTTCACTTTTATAATAACTTATTTTAAGAGGAAAATCTGCCTTACTGTGGGAGGCATTATGGTTATGAAAGATTCAAAGTCGCCCCAGGCACTTACTAGCTGTGCGACTTGGGGACAGTACTTGCCATCCTGTGCCTCAGTTTCTTTATCTCTTCATCAGGGATAATAATGATCCTACCCCATAAAGTCTTCTGGTGATTTGATGAGTGAAAATATACAAAGCTCAGAACAACACCAGACGGACTGTAAGAGCCAGCTACGTCTTAGATATAATATTACCCTTATTGTTATTAAGTGGAAAAACAGCATTACTTGCTATGAACGGAGGCAACCATAAAAATAACTGTAATGAACATGCAATAGCGTTATTAAATGCCAGCCGGTTCCTGCAGCCTGCAGAGGGCTCCAACCCTGGGGCCAGCAATCTCTGTTTATAAGGGTGATTTGTGGGTTTGGAGTGGCGTTCCACAAGCCGGCACCAGACAGAGACTTTCTTCTTGACCTGGGCAGAAGGTCCGAAGACACTTAAAAGGGAGACAATTTCCCTACTAAGAATGCAATGGGCTTTGCCGCCCACCAGAAACCCATGCTTCGCCCTCTGGGACACATCTGTGAGGAGCTGGGCAAGGAGGACAGACAGATGCTCCAACTTGGGTTAAGCTCCAGGGTTTTGCCATTTGCCAGCTGTGTGGCCTGGGCAGGTCTCTCCAGCTCTGTGAACCTTAAGTTCCTCCCCTGAAAGTGAGGCAAATCAGGTACCCCTCCTAGGGCTGCTTGAGGAGTGGTTAAGATGAAGGGATCAAGGACTTACCTCAGTCCTGGCCAGATTCCCAGGCTCTGGTGTCACCTTCAGTGAATCAGGGAGGACTTCAAGCCCACATCTGGGCTGGAGAAAAGCGAGGACAGCAACATTTAAGGGTGTGATTTGCAGACACCAGTGGGTCAGACTGTTTCTTCACAAGCAGCTCTAGGTTCACATATGATTTTGCTGTTTTCAGATTGAGAAAGCTGGTGGGGGGAGGCAGGATGCCCCCGATAATGGTCATGGGAGCTTTGGTGGCCTCTGCTCACTGCCATCATCAGGAGCCATGTGGGCACCGGCAGAAGCTGCCTCCCAAGCAGCTGAGATGGCAGAGGAGGCCTGGGTGTGAGCACACTCATGGAGCAGAGCAGTGAGTTGTGACCGGGCAGAACAAGGGGCCTGCTCAGGCCTCCCAGCATGCTCTCCTTGCCAATTTGCTGGTGACCCCGCACCAGGCTTTTAACCCCAATGCCTCAGAGTTTCTGACTGTAAAGTGAGGGGCAAACACTGTCACCTTTAGACCTCAGAAGGCTCTAGAAGAGGCAGCACTGGGCATGAGGAGAGAACCTGTGTTCGGGGGCTAGCTCTGCTTGGGATTTGCTGTATGACCTTGGGCAAGTCCTATGCTACTCTGGGTCTCAGTTTACACATTGGTTCTCGGGGGGTTGATCTAGCTGATCCCTGTAACTTTAGTCTTGGGAGGCTGGGATTCCACGGGCTACAGAGAGAGTGTTCACCTTGCCCTTGGCAGAACAAGACTGAGCAGGGGGAGAATTCTTGCCTGCAAGGCGCCTCTAAGCAGCCTCTCTGCACATTGGGGAGTGAGAGATGTGGGCTGGGCAGAGAAGAGGTGACTAGAGTCTAAACACCTGGGCTTTGGTGTCAGGCACGCCTGGTGTGAATCCTGGCTCCATACCTGCCCCTGTGTGACCCTGGACAAGTGTCTCCTCCATCCTGAGCTCCAGTCCTTCTCGTATCTAACAGGGGGGAGATGGCAATATGTGTGACGATGACACCATGGGGGTAAAGAGCTGGGCACAGTGTCTGACTCCTAGAGGGCTTAGTAAATGAGGGATAGTAGTAATAATAATAATCGTTATTATCGTGTATTGTTGGTGGTCTTATTGTTGTGCAGATTCAGAACCAGGGAAGTGGCAAGATAATACAAAGGTGGGGAGGCCAGGGCAGGCCAGGGCTCTGGGAGTGGAAGGGTTAAGTCTCCATGGAAACAGGCATGCATTATTTACGCAGCCTAATGAATAAAACATTTATGTGGTAGGCTAATAAATTCCCTCACACAAAGCAAAGTAAGCTATGATTTAAATATTGGCCTCCGCTGGCTGGCTGAGTTATGGAGCCTGCTCAGGGGGACCCTCTTGGCTTTACACCTCCATCCGCTGGAGGGAGGGGCAGGGGGAGACCTAACCTAGGAAGTCGCTTTCTGGACCCTCCTAACCGGAGCCTCCTGCTGCCCTTTGCTGTAGTTCTGTCTCTCCCAGCCCACAGCTGCTGTGCCCCAGGGAATTTTCCCTGGAGCCATGGAAGGTGGATGGGGTGACGGGAGTCCCTGCCTTGGGACTGGCCTTTGTGAGGCAGAGACCGTGAGAGGTGAGGGCGGCTTGCTAGGATCTCCTGGGGGTGGCCATCTGTCTCAGGGAGATGAGATCACACCTCGAGGGTTGGAGGGGTCTGGAGACGTGCACTGGGTACAGGGAGCACACACTAGGAGGTTTGGGCCCAGTCAGGTCCACCCTGGGGCGGTCGTGTAGGGGGCACTGGGACAAGCCCTGGAGAGCTGAGATGGGGCCGGGGTAGGGGGACAGGAACAATCAGCAGTGGGGGCAAAAAAAAAATCCAGTGTGTGGCGAAATGGAGCAGCTTCCCCACGGCCTCCAGATCCTTGTGGCTCTCCTCTCTTCTACAGTTTGCTCACATCCCCTCTTTTGGACTTCTACCTGTCTCTCTCTCACTGTCTCTTTTCTCTCTTTCTCTGTCTCTTTTTTCCCCTTCTATATCTGTCCCCCTCTGTATCAGTCTCTTTTTCTGTCTGTATCTCTTTGTGTGTCTCTGCCTGTACGTCTTTGCAGTCAGGTTCTCTTTCTGTCTCTGGGTCTTTGAGTCTGTCTCTCTCCTGGGGGAACCTCACATGGCAGGAAGAGAGGTTCCACGTGCCCGGATTAGGGTGTGTGATGTCCCCGGTGGGTATCTGAGGAAACGTGGTTATGAAGGAGAAGGGGGCTTCCTCATGGCCTGGGGGTTGAGCATTTGTCTGAGGGACATTGGGGGTGTCAGTGACTGGGGAGAAGTGGGCTCAGGTACCACCTGCACCAACACCCCCTTAACCAGTAGGCCTTCTCAGTTCTGTCCTCAGGAGAGTAGAAGCCACAAAGTGGAGACCTTCACTGGGAAAGCTTGAAAAGGGGGATTTATACTTGAATGAGTTCCTCATATTGGATTAGGCCATCCTGTCTACTACCTGGGGAAACAGTCCTTGGCATTTGTTCTGAAATGAAACCATGTGCTTGGTATAGTCACTCCCTTCTCCAACCACTGAGCTTCTGCTTCCTGCTACCGCAAGGACTCAGGTCTATGAGCATGGCTGGTCATGTTGCTTTCCCAGAGTTCTGACCACCCGGCACTGCATAACTGGTCACCTCAAAACATAGTGGTATAAACAACCACTTAATTATGTTCATGGTTCAGGAACTCAGGAGGACACTAGTGGGTTAGGCAGGGCACAGAGGATATGGCCCTTCTCTGGTCTATATGTCTGGGTCCTCAGGTGGGGTGGCCTGACTGGCTGGAGGTGGCTGGAATGGCCCTCCTGGAACCACATGTCTGAGGTCTCAGCTCTTTTCTGCATGGCATCTACAAGGGTGAAATGTCCATGGTGGTTGCTTTACTCATCTATTGGGCACCTGAGCTGGGATGGTAGGGCCAGTAAGGTGGGCAGGCACTGTTTTCTGCTGTCTTTGGGCTTCCTCAGAACATGGCAGTCTCAGGTTGTATAATTTAACTTCCTACATGCTGCTGGCTTCCCAGGAGTGAGCATTCCATCGGAGACTGCCAGTCCTCTTAAAGGCTAGGCCTGGGGCGCCTGGGTGGCTCAGATGGTTAAGCGTCTGCTTTCGGCTCAGGTCATGATCCCAGAGTTGTGGGATCGAGTCCCACATCGGGCTCCCTGCTCCTTGGGAGCCTGCTTCTCCCTCTGCCCCCCCCACCTCTCTCTCTTGTCTCTCATGAATAAATAAATAAAAATCTTAAAAAAAAAAAAAGGCTAGGCCTGGACCTGGCCAACCATCCCCTCTGCCAGGTTCTGTTGGTCAAAGCTGTCACAGACCAACCCAGATTCAAAGTGGGTGGGGGAGCGACTCCACCTCTTGCTAGGAGAATGACATGTATGTTCAACGAGGGAAGGATTTAGGGACAGCATTCTGGAGACAAGGGACACATCACCTAGTGTCATGGTAGGAGGGGGAGCCTTTCTACTTCTCCACAGGCTGGGTTAAGACTTGAGGTTTTATGCCAGATGCTGAAGGGTTCAATTCCCAGCTCTGACACTCCCTAGCTCCTTTTGGGGATTTCAAAAACAACAAAAATGGGGCTTCCACCAATGGAGCACCCACTATGTGGGAAGCAGCCTGGTATTCTCCCTGTCCCCATCAGAGACCCTGAACCAGTACCTGCCTCCTGAGAATTCTATGCCCTGAGCCTCACCCTGGAGACTGTGGACAGGTGGGCAACAGAGGAGATGTGCAGTAGACACCTCCCTCGTGCAGAGGAGGTGAGGAGGCTGAAACCCCAAGAGAACTGGCTCTTGCACTTGTGGGGCACCCTGTGGGGGACTCACTGTCAAGCTAGGGAGGCCTAGTGGTCAGGATCTTGGCCTTTGGAGCCAGTCTGCCTGGATTTCGTTCCTGGCTCCAACTGCTTTCCAGCTTTGTGGACTTGGACCAGTCATCACCATTCTGTGCCTCCTTTCCTTTTCTGCAAAACAGGGGTGTTAATAGTACCTGCTTTATGGGACTGCTGTGAGGGTTAAATTAGTATTTGTAAAGTGCCCATAGAATGCTGGGCACACAGGAAGCACACTGCTCATGTGTTTTTTGTTACTCAGTCTGGTGAGCACTTTGTGTGTGTGTATGATCCCACAATGGCAGGTGGGCACTTAGTGCCAATCTAACTGGGAATTGATGTTAATGGGGCCACATCTGTCCTCAGACTGGTGGCACCTGGGATGTTTGGGACATCTCTTAACTTCCCCACCAATCCTGCCAGGGAGTTCCTTTTATCTCTATTTTATAGATGAGGAAAGTAAGGCTCTGGGGGCTGAAATGACTTTCCTGAAGGTCAAAGGTTAGGACTGGTCTGCCTGGCACTGTTATGTCTACTACACCACATTGCCCAGGTCCTCAGTCAGTGGGCATGGTTTGGGAGACGGGCAAGATGGTGATGAAGAGGGGACATTTTGTGTGAATCACTAACCTGCTCTGAGTTTGAGGGAGTCCACATAGCCACAGGAGGTTTGGAGCATGCCAGGCCTTCACAAGGGCTGGTTTGTATCCGTTTTTACCCTAAAGATAGTAAGAAAAGAGAGAAGAGCCATTCTGCAGGCCATTCCTTCTCCTTCTCATATTCCAAGCCCTCCCCCATACTCCCCAGAGGGAGTCTGCGTCAGAAAAGCCCAGGAAAAGAGGTCTCTGGGCGATGGATGAAGCAGCACTTTAAGCAAGACTTTCAAAGCCTCTCACACTGAGACTGGGGCCCCCAAGCACTTGGAGGCCAGCAGCAGGAATTTGGTATCATAAATGCAGTTCAGGATCCTTCCTGGAAAACCCCATCAAGACAGAAGCTAACAGGGTCCCTGCCCTTCAACAGGAGGGATGCCCATGACCAAGAGCTGTGGCTATCACAGGTTTATGGATTAGGTATACCTGGCTTCAAATGCTGGTCAGCCTACCACTTGCTCAGTGAACGGTTTTAGACAGGATATACCTTGGGCCGAGGGAATGTTCCAGAAAACCAATGGGCCCACAGAGTGGGAGCGGCAGGTCAACCTCATGGCAGCTACAGGATTGCAGGCTCAGTAGGGTATTTCTGGGACAGCCAACTTTGCACCCACCTGTTCAGCTATAACAGGTGACTATACTATAAAAGTATAATAATCTGACCAGCCACAAGAGTTTTAAAATTAGAAGCCACTTACCACAAAAAGTGGTCACAGTGGAACTCTATTTCCATGTCTCTGGAGAAGACACTTCTGCCTAGTCACACAGAAACCACCTTCCAGGTCCACGTTGAGCCCGGCTGCCTTCCATGAAGTGATGGTGCCAATCAAAGCCACCTTTTCTGACTTCTTCCCATGGACTCCCAAACCATTTCTGAAACCATTTGAAATAGATAACTAATCAACCCACATTTCATTTATTGATTTACCAATTGTTTTTGTATTAATAGGTGCTAGGGATGTGATAGAAAATAAGATAGATAAAATCCTGTCTTCTGGAGGTTTCTGTAAACCCAGGTTTTAACCCTAGTTCTTTCTCCTACTAGCTGTGTGACCTTAGCAAGTAACTTACCCTAACGAAGTTTCATTTTCCTCATCTGGAAATAGAGAATACTAGTATTTGCTTCTTAAAGCTAAACCTATAGAGGGTAAACAGGAACAGAGCTAGAAGCTAAATGACTTTGCATATTCCTTGTTGTTTAGTAGGTTTTATTTTGAAAACATGTAAATATTCTACGTTAGTATAAAACATCAATCTCTAAAAATTGAAAGTGAAATGAGACAAATGAACCTAAATGTGTTTCCAGTTGGAGGTATAATCACAGAAAGAGAAACTATCTCTATTCCTTTAAAATACAGGAATTTATCTGTACATATTTTGTATTAAAATCAATTTCAGTAATCACACTGTGGGTGAAATGTTGGTCCTATCATTCTGAAGTTGTTGTGTGCATATAGTAAAATAAAGCAAATGAGCAATTATACTGGTGGCATTGAGGACTAGGAGTTTTTGCATGAGAGAAAGGGGATACAGATATAAGATTTATGAAGTTAAACAAGGACCTTGTGGTCCTGAATCTGATTTGGAAGTAGTATAAATTCATTGTGTATCTTATCTAGAGAATTAAAAAATCAAAACATATTGCCTATCTCTGTCCACTGAAAAGTACTAAAAATGGTGAACAACTTAGTAGCATTGAGCACCCCTAGTACTCAGATTATGGTCTCTAAATACCATTTTCCCCTAAAAGAAACCAAGATTTCTTAGAGAAATTGTCAATTGCAGTTCTAGGGAAGGAAACAAGATGAACCTGGGCTATCTTGTTGTCTTTCTGGAAAGCAAAGGAATATCAAAGGCTCTTAAGATTTTATCAAAAGGAATCAGAAGCAAACCTGAAAAGGGCTCTCATGGCCAATAAGGGGATAATTGGAACAGAAATAAGGATAATAGCTGGGGCGCCTGGGTGGCTCAGTCGTTAAGCGTCTGCCTTTGGCTCAGGTCATGATCCCGGGGTCCTGGGATCGAGCCCCGCATTGGGCTCTCTGCTCGGCGGGAAGCCTGCTTCTCCCTCTCCCACTCCCCCTGCTTGTGTTCCCTCTCTCAGTCAAATAAATAAATAAATAAAATCTTTAAAAAAAATAAGGAGAATAGCTGCAATGGATTGAACTCATAAAATACGCTAAAACCTATGAATTCATAATGACACTAAAAAAAAAAAAACAAAACCCAAACAACAGGTAGGTCACCTTTGGAGGATATTAGCATTATTTTGAAAACTGGTAAATGCAAGGAATTAAGTATTCATCTTGCCGTTAACATGTTAGGTAATCAAGTAATTGGAAATTTCTCTTTATAGGAGTTATCCAGCTATTAAGTGAAGAAGGACTGATAAATTAGAGTATCACTATTTTGTAACCTTTAATGAAATAATGGATCTAGGCAATGAGCTTCAGTAGCTGCAAACATCTCCAAAAGAAAATAAAAATAACCAGACTTTACGTATCTTTTGATGGAAATACATAACACCACTTATGAAGTAGTACTGCCAAAAAATAAATAAATAAAATAAAAAATCCAATCAAGCCTCTAGATCAACTACCAACTTCTAAGTTGGTATAGAGGATGGGGGAACATACTCAATGGTACCATCAGGATGCAATCAGCAATATCCACACAGTGGGATATTCTACAGGTCAAATGATCTGGACTCTTCAACAAAACATTGCAAAGGAGATGAAATAATAAAGCAGTAGCCACGGATTAAAAGGTACCAAAGAGATGTTCATCAGTTGTGATATATGACTTTTGATTTTAATTCAGATGGGCTGTAAGACAAATGTGTAAGTCAATTTGGTAAATATAAACACTGATTGGTTTTTATCATAGTAAATAATCATTAATGTTTTGAAGTGTGATAATGGTATTTGGTCACTAAAAAAATTTTCTACAGATACAATTGAAATGTCAAATGAGTTGATAGGATGTCTGGTATTTCACTCAAGCTTATCTAGGAGTCAGGAGTGGGAGTTGTAGATGAAATAAGATTGTCCCTGAGTTGAGAATTGTTGAAATGATGAGTAGAGTAGATGAGGCTGATTATATTGTTTTTTCTACTTTAGTATAATTTTATAAAATATCGTTATCTATGATAAAAATAGAACTTTGGAATTTTCTATACTGAACTTGAGTTAAAGTTTTAAAAAATTAAGAAACAGAACAAATCAGTAACTCCTGGTTCTCTGTCTCTCAACCTGGCAGGCAGCATTCAGGATGCCTAGGCCATCCCCATCTGCCTTCCAAATGTTTTGTCAAAGGGCTTGACACATTTCCAAAG